AACTAGAACACGAGGGACTTTCCCTAGAAGTTCACCAAAACAAAGTTTTGCCTCAGTGCACATGCACTCAAATCCAGTTCAGGCTTGATGAACTTGTCCTTAGCTGTGATGTACTTGAATAGAAACTGTCAGAATTTGATAGAGGAACATTTCCAATTGTTCAGAGAGGGGTGTAGGTATCGCCTGACCAAGGTGGGGTCTGAGGTTGTTGGTTGCGTTGTTCAGAGAGAGGCATGTATGCATAGCATGTGTGGGTAAAGGAGCTAGGCTGTCAAGAGGATTATCAGAAGTCAGGCACACACAGCCCAAATCAGGTAGAGTCCTGGGTTACGCCTCTATTCCCTACGCTTCCCTGCTTCACCCCCCACAAGGCAGAAACAGTGCCACCACACTGGGAATACTCACAGGATGTCTCACAGTGCCATTTCAGAAAGGTGAGAGGGCTCTGGGCCCCCTGTACAAAGTCTTCAGAGGTGTCCTTGTTACCTGGAGCTGTTGGCTTCAGAGCGGGGCTCCTAAGGATCCCCGAGCATGCCACATTCGGGTTTGCAGCACAGGTGAGCTAGGACAATGGTGATGGGCAGAACTACAGCCTAGCCCAGACTGTCCTGCTCCTTGCCTTCTACTCACACCCAAACCTCGTATTAGTACCCAGAGAGACAAAGGAGGTCACAGATCTCTTTGTTCCTTTCCCAGAGTAGCCATATCAATCAAACCTCTCTCTCTCTCTCTCTCTCTCTCTCTCTCTCTCTCTCTCTCTCTCTCTCGATTGATCTATCTCCCTCCCTTCCCCCCCCTCATTCTCTCTCCTGCTTCTTACCATTGCTTCTCTGTTTAATTGATTTTTTGAGGACAAGTTGAGAACAATTCAAGCAAACCACGCTCGTTCATTAGGTGTCTGTCAGGGCTCAGACTGTGATTAATAAACCTACTGATATAGTGACACCCCACCCAAGTCTATACTTGGGGTCCTGACATGAGGTTCAGGTTTAAGTAGAGGGCAAGAGTTCACATCTGGTCAAGGTGTGGTCCCAGATGTCATCATTGCCTCCAGTCCAGTCTCTCCTACAAGGTAGTCTAACCAGTGTTCAGAGCTGTGTCAAGTCCCTTCCCAGAGGACAAGCTCCCCACTTAGCTGACACCAGCTCCTCCTTCTCTATCCCGAGACTCCTGGGAAATCCTGGTTCCCTTCATTGTTTCAGCAGTCTGATATCCAAAGGGAGAGAGGAACACATGTCTTCATTCCTGCCAGGATGGCTACACCCTTTCCTGGGAATGTGTCATCCCTTTCCTAGGCAGCGTGGCCTAAAGAGCCGGAAGGTGGGATTTCACTACTCAAACACAGGATCATCTGTCTGTCTTTGTATGGCTGCTGTGGTGAGACTGAAGGCCAATGGCTGGCAATGCCCCCAATCCATGCCTACTGCAGTATTCCACAATTGGTACCAAAGTAACGAGCCTTCCTCATAGACAAAGCCAACCAGCAGTTTCTTCTGCTAGTGAATAAGTTGCAAGCAAAACAGAACTATCCTAAAAAACAAACAAACAAAAACTATACTAGCCGTTATATTTTGCTTTCTACTGCATATTTTTATTACAGTATTTGTAGAAAAATAGAAACGCTAGTGTTGTTTTTAATTTTTATTACATTGTGTGTGTGTGTGTGTGTGTGTGTGTGTGTCTGTCTGTCAAAGCACACAGATAAAGGTCAGAAGACAAACTGTGAGAGTTAGCTCCCTCCTTGCACCCTGTGGACCCCAGGGACCCAGCTCAAGTCATCAGGGTTGATAGTAAGTACCGCTATGCTGTGAGTCATCTCACTGGTCCTCAAGCACTGTTTTCATTTCTAGGGAACAGCCTACTTGGTCTGACACAGAAGGAAGGGATTGCTGTAGTCAAGCTTTAAGGACACCACATCCCACTCTTGATTCTCAGTGTCGTCTGTCTGTCTTACGGCTTCCAGGTCTTTCCACTTTCTGACTTTCATTCTGACAAGGCTGTCCCTTGAGTTCATCCCTGTCAGTAGGAATATCAAGGAATGATATTTTTTCCTCTGAGGCTTTTGTTTAACACAGAATAGAAGTGGGTGGGGACCAGACCTACTTCCTTAAAGCTGTGAAGAGAGTATATTCTCAACCACTCTTGCTGGAACGTCCCAAACCCCTTTGCATATCTTCTGGGATACTGTCCCCCTAAGTCTCTCTCTTGCAATTGTGCTCCCTTTGGGGTGCCACCCACATTCTCCTCTACCCTAGTCAGGGGCAGGGATGGGACAGTGTGGTCCATGGGCAGGCATCCCTTATGCTGCTTGGAAACTCTATTTGAGCATGTGATGGAAGGCTGAGCATCAGAGGACCCTCGGCTGTGCTCTGAGACAGCTTGCACTAACACACTGATGTACCTCAGAGGCTTTAAAGTTCAGCCACACTGGGGCACACTTGGTGCACAATAGATCACATATTTAAAGCCTACAATTTGATAAGGTTTTGGCACCCATGATGGCTAGTGAAAACAACACTGCATCCAGATAACATATGCACTACACCCCTCAACATCCGTGTACTCTTTGAGACGCATCCCATACCCCTCCTATCTATGCAAGCTTCCTTCATCCCATACCCCTCCTATCCAAGCTTCCTTACCGACCACTGACTTCCGCCACTAAGGATTAGTGTTTTCTAAAATCTTATCCAAATAAAAATAAAAATGAACATATTGGAAATTAAAATGTCCAACTGAGCAGAAGTCATCTGTTGCTCAGCCTTTTAGGACTTCATACATGAAGCTGGGTGATCCCATAGTCTGCTACTGTGTAGGGACAGGTGGCTCGGTGGCACTTTATGGCTATGTAAATACAGCTTTCATGAAGGTTCACGTACAAGTGTGCGTACAGGCACGTTTTCATCTTCTCTTTTCTTGGGTAAGCATTTAGAAGTGGACTAATTGGTAACTACATACTTAGCTTTTACAGAAATTTCCATCTTTTCCCAAACTGTTTATGTCATTTTATACTCCTACCAACACAGTACAAGAATTCCAATTTTAGTTACTTGGAGATGTCACCATCAATTTCTTTCTTTTTAAAACTTCTTTTAGTAGCTGGACAGTGGTGGTACACACCTTTAACCCTGGCACTGAGTTCGAGGCCAGCCTTGTCTAAAAAGTGAGTTCCATCACAGGCTCCAGAGCTACAGAGAAACCCTGTCTCGAAAAAACAAAAACCAAACAAGTAAACAAACAAATAAACAAAAAACCTTTTTAGTAGTGTATTGTGATAAGGTGACATGGTAGGTGTACATGCATGCATGCCTGTATGCCTGTGTGTGCTTAAGCTAGCACACATGTGGAAGCCAGAGGACAACTTTCCAGAGTTGGATCTCTCCTTCCACCTCCATGTGGGTTCCAGAGGCTGAACTCAGGCCACCAGACTTACACAGCAAGTGTCCTCACTCACCATGCCTTGTGCTGGCCTTCGTTTCTTTTTCCTTCCTCTGTTATGATGACTCCCATTGACCTATGACATGGGAGAAGCCTTTGTCCTGGGAAGAATTCCCTAGGTGAATGCTCTCCTATTCCCTTTACCTGCCTGTGCTGGCCTCCACCTTCCATCGCAGCCCTAAAAGAAGGGCTGTGGCCACAAGTCCTCAGCCCAGACGCAGTGTGGAGACCAGCTCCAAACTCCAGAGGCAGAAAGAGGGGTCACCCGAGATCTCCGGGGCTTGGGGACTTGTAACCCTGGCCAAAGAGCTGGTCTCCTGCTGACTGGCAGGTAGAAGTGCGTGCTGTGTAACAGCTACAGAAGGAAGTGGGAAATGATGTGTAGCCACAGGCTAATGAGGCCTGCGGTATGTGTTATATTTCAAAGGTCACAGTGCTCATTTAATCCAGTGGTTCTAAACATACTTTTACATCTACTCTCGTTAAATTTCCTAAGACACCAGAGCCTTCATGATACAGTCATCAGCAAGTAACTCTAAAACCTTGGAAAAATCACAGGCTGGAAGAACCAGGGAAGCTTGGGTATGGTGACTAGTCAATTGTGTTCCCACAGAACCAACCAACCACCCTACCTTTGGTTTCCACAGCCTCCATGAAGCCAGTTCTTCCCGTAACCTGAGGGAGCATGTACCTGGAAGACTGTTTCCATAATAATGCTTACGTCTATTTTTTTTTTTTTTTGTTTTTTTTGTTTTTTTTGTTTCAGGGACCCAAGGTGGCCTTGAACTCACTGTGTAGCCAAGGATGACCTTGAACTTTTGATCTTCCTGCTTTCATTTTTTGAGTTGAACTGAAATTAAGATGTGCACCACCAAACTGGATGCACTGGACATGGTGTCACACACTCTAATCCCAGGATTCAGGAGGCAGAGACAGGGGAATCTCTAAGTTCATGGCCAACCTGGACTTCAAAGAGAGTTTCAGGACAGCCAGGACTACACAGAGAAAGCCAGCCCCCCCCCAAAAAAAAAAAAAAACAAAAATCAGTGCCCAACCATACTAGGTTCATGCCAGGAATGCAAGACTGACATCCCACCAACTGAGTTACACCCCAGCCTTCAAATTGAGCTTTAAAAGAACATATTAATTTGTTGAACAACAGCAACAACAACAACAAAAAAAAATGGGGTTGGGGAGGTCTTACCATATTGCCTAGGTTATCATTGCATTTGTGGGAATCCTCCTGCCTCAGAATCCTAGAGTGCTGGATTATAGACATATGCCATTATCCCTGGCTGATAATGATTGAAAGGATGGCACCCTTGGCTAACTCACAGGCTCTGGGACAAGTGATGTCTGGGTTTGCTCTTCTGTTCTGCCTCTTTGTAGTTATATCGCTTTGGATGAACCACTGGCCTTCAGTTTCTTTCTCGGGTATGGGAATAAGAACACTCACACTGTAGACAAGAAGTAAGAAGGAGGAGTTCACCTTTATAAATAGCCTAGCCCTGTAACAGAGACAAATTCAGCGCTTACTAGTAAATACTCACTAACCAGTCCTCTTTCTTATATTCTATTTTTATATAAACGTAAAAAATTACATAAAATAATACGAAGAGACAAGGATCAAGGTTTACATATCCTGCCTTTGATGCAAACTACTGTAGAGTTCAAAGGTCTGGTCATGGCCTCTCCTTGGCGGAGCTCCCTGAGAGTCTGCCCCACTTCGAGACGGGCTGCCGCTGCACCGTGGGAACAGGCTGCAGAGACAGCGTGTGAAGGCCTTGTCAAAAAGCAAACAGATGAGAGGGTTAGCACAGCAGTGGGTGGTGGCAATGAGCTGTGTGACCTGAAGACTTGCATCCAGGTGGTAGCTGTGCTTTCCATCCTGCAGGGGCAGGTGTTCCTGGAACTCAGACAGGAAGAGCACAATATTGTAGGGCGCCCACATCAAAAGGAATACGGCCATTATGACAAAACCAAGCTTTCGAAGATCGTTCTGCCTCTCCCTGAAGGCCTGTGTTTTCCTCATTTGCGCACAGCAGAATATAAAAACCACCAGAGGAAAACCAAGAACCAAAATGTTTGTCTTTGAAGTCAGAAAATACTTCCAGAATGGCTCTCCAACTGGCAAAAAGTGAGGTTTGCCAAAGGCGCAGTTGCTTCTCTGTCTTTCCATGTGAGGCTGGTAAAACACAGATTCAGGCAAAGCGAGTGTAACAGCCGTGATCCAGGCCAGGATGCTTGTAACAACAACACTGCGCACTGTTGTGAGGGCCGAGGACTGTGTCCCTTGGGAAAACAACTTGTACCCTTGCACGAGGAGAAGGATGTTGAAAAACGTCTCGCTGTATAAGCCCGTGGAGTGGAGCCCAACAAGAGCTTTACAAGTCCCATTGCCAGGGCTCTCCCCGCTTGCGGCAGCCTGTGCCCAGAACGGCAGGGGAAGCAGGAAACACAAATTCGAAACTGCCAGGTTTAGACAGTAGATGTTCCCCACATTCTTCAGTCCCTTGTATTTTACCAGGATGAACACAGCCAATGCATTGTTCAGGAGCCCCAGTGCAAACACAAGACAGAAGAACTGCAATGCCTGCTGGGCAGAGAGGAGCTGGGGGGTGAGGGCTTGCTCCGGCTCATGGCTGTCCAGGTCATCCTGTATGAGGACATCATAGTCATCCTCGGGGGCCGCTGTGGAATAATCCATCTTGGGCTGCCCTGTGGGGAAACCAGAGATTACGTTTCCCCTCCATCCTCCTTGAAAGATGGAAAGGAAGTGTGCCTGCGCTCCCCAGAGGGGCGGCTCCATTCAGTCCTCTCATTAAGTACTCACAACACACCTAAAACTAGTAGTCTTCGACCCCCAGGGACTGCGCTGGTAATGTGACAGATATGCCCAGCACAAAAGGACGCAGGGACTCCACAGTCAGTTAAATTCTTTTGGTTAAAATGAGACTGGCTTAATAGGAGGTAGGACCCAAGAAAGCAAAGAGTTAAAAACAACCAGAGAAGTTAGTGCCCCTCCCACTTCCCAGCTATTAAAAAAAAAAAAAAACAAAAAAAAAAAACAAAAACAAAAAAAAAAAAAAAAACCAAAACTGTTTCCCTTACCTTGTTCTCGGCTTGAGTTCTTGGGGCAGGCTGCTTGGTATTTTTCTCTCAAGGGTTATAAACAGATGTTTGCAAAAGTGAAACCCCACTGGTCAAGCACGTGGACAAACTGGTGCCATAAAGATAACTATTTGACTGAGTTCCCAAGGGTGGGAAGGGTACAGCCCCATGATCACCATCCAGGGGGCTGTGGGAACATTGGGGTCAGGGAAACACCACTTCCTTCTGAGCAGACTGCTCCTGACCCAGAGGAGCTGGAGACAGCGCTGTTTATCCCTCCGAAGCTCTCCCCTTCCAGGCACAGCTTTCAAGGGCCAGCTGGAATGAAGTTCTGAAGTCTCTCTCAGGAACCTCTGTCAGCCCAGGAGAAACTGAGAAGTTTTCTTCTCTCCCAGTGTCCCATGTTTGAGTTCCAGGTACCTTTTAGCCAGCTGCCCTCCACGATGCCTTAGATAAGGGTGCTAAGTCAAGCCTGCTTCCACTGATAATAAGAGGGTGGTGATGTCAGAAGCTGAGCAGTGCCGCCCCGCCCCCTTGGCTTCTGACAGAAGTTCTCTGAGTAGATAGCAGTTTCCAGAGCACAAATGTGAGATCTGGTGTGGTCACCTCTCCACTGAAGTAGGGCAGGGACTAGTGACCCAAAGGGAAAAATGGTGAGTGGTGGGTGTCGGCTTTCTGTTCTTTCTGCCGTCTTTGAGAAGAGCTGAGCGTTTTTTTTGTTTGTTTGGTTGGTTTTTTGTTTTTGTTTTTTGTTTTTGATGATGGATAAAGCGCTATGCGATGATCTGAAGAACATAGGGAAAGGAAATTGGGAAGAGAGCTGGTCAGAGAAGGACTGGCTGGTGCTGGATGCTGGACTGCTGTGGACATCTCTACTCTGGAAACTGAAGAGTGTTGCAAGCAGCAGGGAAGAATCAGTTAGTGCTGGGACACTTGGCATAGCTGACTCTGCTCAGGGAAAACCCCAGAAGGAAACCCCGTGTGAGGATGCATGAGGCATGATCAGGTTGGAGATACCATGAGGAAGTCAGGCTCAGCCTCACATGGAGGATGGAGGTGAAGACAGGAAATGGAAAGTTGCCTGGCCTTGCAGTGGCGGAGAGAGGGAGAGCGCAGTTTGAAGATAAGGATCATAGAAGAGGAACTTTAAAGAGCTGAGGAAGAAAATGTATGAACTGCCCTCAGGCTCATGCCTCTGTGTCCATGACTGCACTAATCTGGGAACCAGTCGATGTCCCTGACTTACACACATCCTTTGCATTATCATTGACATGTCTAATACAAGTGATACTGAAAGTGTACTATGAAAATAGAACTGGATAATGAGGAGACTAGTAAGAAAATATAGAAAGAACAGAGCCCAGACAAACAGGATTGAGCGTTAAGTTCCCAGCATCACGGCAGCCAGGCAGAAAGGGAAACATGGGTTAGTGCAGGGCGAACCCAGATGAAATACCTTCCCAATAAGACCTCTCCCCTGCTACTGGAGAGCATCTAGGAGTGAGTGGGGATTGGCAGGGCATGGTTACAGCTGAGAGTGACATCAGTTGTCACCCTCCTCTTGAGACCTCTGCAGCTAGATGCCTTGGAGCCATATGGAGACACCTGGCCTGTGAGTCAATAGGCTAAGTGGCTCATAGTTCACTCCCCGACAGAGGACGGATTCAGAAATGTATGCACTGCTCATTTGATGGGAAATTGGGTGTCGATAGCAGGTACCCTATATGCTTCATGACCCTCAATGATGGGAAATTGAAAATTTACAGGAATAGACTGTAAATTCAGGATCACTCCAACTTCTCCATCGCTGAGGCCTTCACTTTCAGTATTCTGCCTGTCCACACTCAGGCCTTAGGATTTCTTTTTTCAAATTAGCATACAAAATGATGTGTTTTATTATGACATACTCATATACATGTGTCATTATTCATTCTTATCCGTCCACAGCCCCAATGCACTGCCTATTTCCCATCCCTTCTTAATGGTCCTCTTTCTGCCCCCAGACTGCTTCTCTTTCTGCTTCCATGGCACATGGATTATATTACCTTTTCTTCCTCTTATTCTTTCCCTAAGATCTGTTCCTCTCCTCTAATGGCCTCCTTTCTAGACTCATTACACACACACACACACACACACACTCGTACACATGCACACACACATACACTTGCAGGAGCACACACACTTAGGTCTAGATTTCACATATGAAAGAAAACACGATTTGTCTTTCAGGGTTGGGCTTATTTCACTTTACATCATGATTTGCAGTTTCATTTTCCAGCAAATGCAATAGTTTCGCTTTCCTTTGTGTTGAATAAAATTCCACCATGTGCATACGCCACCATTTCCTTACCCACTCATGTGTTGATGGGCATCTAGACTGCTTCCATTTCCTAGATGTTAAGAATAGTGCAGCATAAAGATGGTTGTGTAAGTGTCTCCGAGGTCTGCTGACATAGTGTCACTTGAGTATCTACAAAAGAGTAGCACGGCTGGGTCACATGATAGTTCTGTTTTTAGGATTTGTTTTGTTTTTGTGTATTTGTATGTTTGTTCCGAGTACCTTCCATTCTGATGTTGTTTGTTTGTTTGCTGCTGAGCCTAGGACCACGGGCTGGTCAAGTGCTCTATCGCGGAGCCACCCCACCCCACCCCTGATGTCACGGATTTCCATCTTGGCTGTGCCAGCTTACCTGCCCACCAGAGTGTAAGGTTCCTGTTTACTCACATCCTCATCAGCATTTATTGTTCTCTTTAAGGCCATGAGAAAGAAGAAACTACATCTCTACCCAGAAGTCCGAGGAAAGCTTGCTCTGGCATCTGAAAGCATATCAAGCCATCATCTTGGTCAGTTTTCCATCTCTGTGACACAATATTTGAGGCAATCAAGTTTAAAGATGAGGAAAAGCTTATTTTGACTTTCAGAAGTTTCAGTCCGTGATCGCTCCGCTCAGCCCATCGCATCTGGGACTGTGACGGGGCAGTGCTTTGCATGGCAACACATGGCAGAGAAAGCTATTGCCCATGTTAGCTGGGAGGTGAAGGAGAAGGGGAGTGGCTGGGACCCTAATATCCCCTTCAAGCACAGTCACCCCACCACCCTCCTCTAGGTTCTACCTTCCAAAAGGCCTACCGCAAGTGCCCAGACTAGGGAGACTATTACACACGACTCTTGAGGTGGCTCCTACTGAAGCCACAGTGTTCTTTCTTGTGAAACCAAGGCACCTTTTAGAGTTTTGGTTTGAGACTCCCAAGACCTTAGCATTGAAGGTCTGAGTTCCTCCCGATCACTGTAACTCAGTCCCGCTGCCTGTCTAAGATGCTATGACCACACACTTACTCTCCCCGACATGTAAGTCACCTATTTATTCAGCGAACATTTCTACAGCCCCAAGTTGCTGGTGTGGTTTCTGATTGACACAATTATATTCAGCTCAATGACAAGATGGAAAATGCTAGGAAGCTGAGAGCTGAAGGATGTCAGTTTTCAGGGCTCTATCTTGATAATGAGAGACAAGTATTGGTTGCTTAGTAATATGACAACTACATTATTCCCGTCAAATACCTGTTTTCTCATATTTGCATCTCTCCATCTATATTACCTATCCCCCACCTATTAGATATCTATAATTCATCACCTAACTATAACTACTTATCTATCCATTATTGGGTAGCAGACTGGAAGAGTAAACAGTCGTGTGTTATAATTCCACAGAGATGGGACCAGGTTAGGGAAAGTATTTGGAAATCCAGATCATGGCATTTTCTTGCCTATGGACATGTGACTGACTTTCCATGAAAGAACGCTGGAGTCAAGAATCAGGCTCTGGATTGCGTTCCTAGGAATCCAGAGCTTTGAGAGGCAGATGTGAGACTAGAAATCTTGTCAAGCTGGGGCTCCCAGCTTACCCCTCTGTAGGGTTAGGGTGAGGGAACGCCAGGAAGAGGGAGAAGTAGTCATCAGGTGGGTCACAGCCAAACTCAGCTGGCCTTCCGGGAGCTGTGCAGCTGGGGTGGCCGCTGAGAGCTGTCCTAAACGTTGGAGACCAGGCCACATCCCTTTAATGCCACCTCAGTCATTGTCCTTAGCTATTTCCTGGGAGGTGGCATTGCCTGGAGGACAGATGGGGGGTGCAGATGCAAAGACCCTGAAGAGGGTATTTGGGCAGGTCCCACAGCATCCTCTGTGACCCTGGAGGGTTCTAGACTTCCTAAAAACTGTGTTTACCCCAAATACCAAGAAATGGAAATGAAAATTTCTAAACCCACAGTGTTGTAAGTCCAGGGAACCCACGCGGGGGCTTTAGCACATTTAAAAGAGGAAGTCACGTGTCCTGTGAGGCCACACTGCCTATTGCTGCACATGGTCATTTGGTTGGCTACTCATCTAGCGTTATCCGAGTACAGAGAAGGTCGGGGAGAAACTGAGGTGTCTCTCCCAGCCCCCCCATCCAGTTCTCCCTCTGTTTCTTCTTCACTAGCAAGTTAGTGGCACCCCAGTTCCCACAGGCTTGGCTAGGGTGGGACAGACAGGTCCACTATTAACCATATCTCACACGAAAAAGAAACGCTGCTTCTGTGAACAGAGGTTAACAAAGCAGTATAGGGATCTGGGGAGGTAGCTTAATCAGTCCCCAGGACCCATGTAAAAAGATCTAGGCACGGCAGCACAAGCAGATTCCCTGTTTCTCACTGCCCAGCCAACCAAGCCGAGTCAGAAAGTGCCAGGTCAGTGAGAGATTCTGTCTCAAAAAAATAAGGTTTCCTGAGGAACCGCACCCAAGGTTGACCTCTGGCTTCCACACACAGTGACAAGCATATGCATAAAATGCACACATTAAATGCACACATGGACACGTACATACATACACAAAAGCAACACACAAAAGCATTCTCATTTAAAAATATTTCTTTCAGAGCTAGGAATATAGTCCAGTGGCCTAGCTCCTATCTAGAATGCGTGAGGCCCTAGATTCTATTCCCAGTAACACACACACACACACACACACACACACACACACACACACGCACGCACGCACGCACGCACGCACGCACCCACGCACGCACGCACACACACACACGCATGCACGCACTCACACACAGTCCTTTTAATAAAATGTGACCCATTTTCATTATGTAGGGAAAGGGTTTGGTGGGACTTTCCCTCAGCATGAGTGACTATCTTGGGTGCTGCCCAGGTGCAGGCTCATGTGAGCCAAGTTGGGCACTGTGAAGATCTTGGTTTCTTCTAGCCAGTGACCCCAGGGATGGTCCCTGAAGCTCCTCTGTCATGCCGCTCCTGTCCCAGGTCCAAGTGCCCAAGAGTGAGCATTGAGCCCACTCCTGTCAGCTCAGAATCCACAGCAGTGTCTTTGTCGGGAAGAGTTCCCATCCCAGTGAGCCAGCACCTCCAAACCACAAGGCTGGTCCTGTGCTCGAGAGACAGCCCAGGGCTTGGAGACTACAGTGGTGCTTGGTGTGAGACAGGGGAGAGTCTGTGCCCTTGTACCCTGATGCCACGGATCAGCAAGGACAAACAAACCGGGCAGAGGCTGAGTGGCCAGCCATTCTGACTGCAGGCTGTGGCCAGGCCTGTTTTGTCTG